GAGGCAAAAATACAAAAATGCCATTATGTTGATGACATACTGCATAGTCCCAAAACAGTAGTGTCACATTTAATAAAAAAAAAAACATTACATTATTGCATCTTAAGGCAATTATCTTTTAATATCACAGAGAATTATGTTGCACTTAGATAATATTACTTACAGAGAATTTATAATCTCAAATTGCAATTAGAATAGAGCTGGGAGGGCCACTAGAGGTCTTCTAGTCCAACCCCCTGCTCAAGCAGGAGACCCTATACCATTTCAGATAAGTGACTAACCAGTCTCTTCTTAAAAATCTCCAGTGATGAAGCACCCACAACATTTAAAGGCAAGTTGCACTGGCTTATCGTCCTCACTGTTAGGAAGTTTCTCCTTAATTCCAATTTGCTTCTCACCTTGATTAATTTTAATCCATTGTTTACCAGCCTTGCTCCTGGAAAATAAATTGTCATTATTATTATAATTTTGTTTACTGCCCTCTGTACTTTCTCAGAAGTCAACTTTCTAGTGCATGGGTGACTGCAAAACATTTGAGAAAACCAGGAAAAATTCATTCTCTTTCCTTCGTGGAAATCTCTGCTGGATCCTAAATGCTGTTTTTGAATATTTATACAACTTTAAATTCAACTTTATATTACATCATGCTTTTAATGCCATTAACAATAACTGGGACTTAAAAACTTTATTTGAATATTCTCAAATAACTTCTTTTTGTTTCTAATAAAAGTTATGACCATACATGAGAAGACAGACTTGTGTGTGTATACGGCCCCTATAACAATTTCTTTTTTAGCTTAACAAGATAATTTTATGCCTCACTACACTTCAGTTGACTGAGAAATTGAGAAGCTGAGATCAAGGAGACACCCATATTTATTAACTAATGTCCTTAACTAATATCTTAACAAATGATATTTCAATGCTATATATTTTTGTTTTCTCTTATTTATATGTTAAATGTAAGATAGAAATTCACAACATTAACACTGCACAATCAGCTTTTTAGGAAAAAGGACATTGCCATGGGTGTGCTAAAAGAGCAAAGTTAACACAACTCTCCTTTTCACACGGACGCAGTGGCTCGATGGCTAAAACTCTGAGCTTGTCAATCAGAAAGGTCGGCATTTCAGCGGTTCTAATCCCTAGCGCCATGTAACGGAGTGAGCTCCCATTACTTATTCCCAGCTTCTGCCAACCTAGCAGTTTGAAAGCATGTAACAATGCAAGTAGAAAAATAGGGACCACCTTGGTGGGAAGGCAACAGTGTTCCGTGTGCCTTCAGCATTTAGTCATCCTGGCCACATGACCATAGAGACGTCTTCAGACAGCCCTGGCTCTTTGGCTTTGAAACAGAGATTAGCACTGCCCCCTAGAGTTGGGAATGACTAGCACATGTATGTGAGGGGAACCTTTACCTTTTCACAACAACCACATCCAACTCTATTTTCCTGAAATAATACAGCATGTACCAGCAGTTCATTTGTTATGCGTTGATAAAAAGATTGCCAAAGCCTTTTCTTTCTGTTGTTGCTTTTACTGTTGTGCTGAGAATACTAATTTTCTCCATATTGCAGTACATTGGAACGTTAATTCAATATCATTTCTACTTAGTGATCTCTCTGAGGTTAATAAAGACTTAGTTGTTTTAACTTGGATTTTTTTCAAGTGCTAAGCAATTTAATTTTACTGAGAAAGGAAGACATTTGAACTGAATTAGCTATGCCATCGAGGGAAGCTTTTGTAGCATAACTCATGTTCCATATAGCATTTATTTCTCTTATTCCAATTACAGTGAAACATGTATTCCCATCAGCTAAATGTATCTTTTTGCTTATCAGGCATTTTTTTTGCTTTGATGGTAAAGCTGCACTTTCTCTGACTACCTGAGGCTTCATCTTCTGGGACACTATTCTGAATCAAGGCAAATTTAATCAGCGTGGCTTCTATGATTTCTTTTTAGAGATATAAGATTGACTTTGTAAAAAAGAAAAGTTTCTTAACCAAGCAATCCCCTCCAGCTTCACTTTGCAATAGTTTGACTCTACCATCTTTCCTTATTTTGATTCCCTACTAGCTACAATATTTCATTTTCCCCAAATAGGCCTAAAATGAGTCAAGTTGGACCATGTTAAGCTAACTAAAAAGTCAACAAGAAATATCTGAATCATTAACAGTTACAGAAAAGGTTATATAAGTTCCAGAACAGACTAAAGATTAAAAACTGGTCCAAATAGTTTCTAGTTAGAAACTAACCTGATAACTGCTATGGATTAAATTAAAAGATTCATGTTATAGTAAAGGATTGACTACTTCATTCAAAAGGCAAAAAATATTTTAAATTAAAATATAAAAATGTATATATTATACGATTGTAAGAGTTTCATATGAAATGTCAATGTTAATTTGTTGAAATAACTTAGTCAGAAATTAAAAAGGGGGGGATTAGATTAGTCATATACAATATCTTCGAAATCTGCTATGAAATTAGGCAACTAGCTATAAAAAAAACTTTAAAATGAAGATTGGAGATTGCAACTATCATGGTTTTAGACTGAATATTATTTATTTATTTTAATATCTTAAATATATTTCTATGCCACTGCAATCAAAGAAACCCTTGTCAGAAAAAAATAAGAATCAAACATGCTTTGTACAAAAAAAATTAAAAATAAAATAAAAACACAGTGGCACTACAATTATATAAAAAGGACAGAATAAAAAAGATAGGAAAATCTAGGCTGTCCACAAAATTTTCAACAGTTTTCAAATATAACCCAAAAGGGAACTGCTTCTTCTAAAGCAGGCCTGTCAACCTGTCAGCCCACAGGCCAGATGCGTTACATGCAGTTCATACCCACCCCACCATTTTTTACAAAGGCAAAAAAGTCATGGCACGTCATGTGACACGTTCAAGTTTGACGCCCATCTTCTAAAGATAAATGAGATCATTCAAGATTCTTTTCTCAAAACGGTCAGAACCACACTAACATGGGCTATTTTGAGAAACTATAATAACAAGGTAATTTAATATGTAGCAATAATTTTAATTCAACTTTGTGTTGAATTAGATCTCATTTTAGTTGCTTGTCTTTTTTCCTACCTTTATTTTCTTTCTTCCCTTTCTTGTCTTTCATTTTATTTTTTTTAAAGGTTATTCTAATTAATTAATTAATTGAAACAAAAAAGGAGGTACCTCATGGTACTATTTGTTCTGCTCACCTATGAGCAATTGCAAATTAAGATTGAAGCCTGAAACAATTTTCATTTGTACGTATTTATGCTGAAGGACTTTTTCTATTTTCAAGCACTTTCATATCCTCTGTAGCTGTTATTTGGCAATGCTCCTGCGATTGCAGGATGGGTGTGAGATTATGCTGTCAATTCTGATTCAAAAGCCATTCTTTAAATATTCATTATAGTTTCTCTTACGTAGCCCACAAGGTGTCTTATGAAATGTAGCACACAGAATATGATTTCATTGCTTATACAATAAGTATGTGTCATTGTAGGTGGTTCTTGGCAAGTTATTCACAGTATTTCCAGTGATATCCAGAAAGGAAGATGTTTGATATAAATTCATGGCCTTCTTTCTCTTATAACAAAGATGTCTACACAACAAAACCTACTTTCAAACAAATATTCAAAGTAATTATTATTTTGTCCTGCTTGGATTTCATGCTACCATAGTAGTAGTAGAACTTTGTGAGTCTCCCTTATTTATTTATATTTTTGTCATGTTTATGTAGTATATATTGGAGGTGGTGACCCTTTGAGAGCTGTATGCAAGGAAATTTAATTTTAATGTATGTCGATTAGTGAACATTTAAAGTGACAATAAAGTTATTCTAAGTCTAAGTCTATTGAAATGTTACTAGAGCTGTATACAATTAAACCATGGCAAAAGAGCAGACCTATTAAGGCAGGAAATATTAAATGGGCTTACATTTACATTTATTTGTCACAAGTATGTGTTCTTCAGGTATTCATAATTCTAAGTGTGCAACTAAAATAAACTTTTGGCTTTTGGCTTTACGTCCTTTAACTATCTTCCAATGATGAGGTGTCAGTTCTGAACAGGGGCTTTAACTACATTTATTGAGAGGTTCTAACTACATTCATTCAAGCATCGTTTACTAAACATAGGTCTAGAGATCCTACTTTGTATAGAAGTCTAAGCATGAATGTGTCCAGTTAAATATAGTTTTATCATGGAAAAAATCTATGCGGTTGGTAGGAGTTCCTAACAACTTGTTGATACATAACCAATCAATCAGACAAATATATTTACAATTCTGTTCAAAATGAAGCTGAGATGATCAGGTACAGAAGGAAAAGGGCAAGTACATTGGGATCATCCTTTTACTGTCACATTTTGAAAGACTTAAAATATGTAGTCGTTGTGTGTTCAGTCTCTTTAAACACATTCAAAAGCTCACATATGTCTTTTTCCATGTTATGTTATTATCTTACTGCCTTCAGAACTTATTCCATTAAAACAATTGATTCATAAGATACAGAGGGATTTATTTTAATCAATACTTTATGTAACTCTCTAAACCCAACCTATATTACAGAGATCTTACTGTGGAGTAAAACAAAGGGTAATCCTTAATTAGACTAGCTTAGTTCCTAGAAAAAAGTGGATTATGTCATCATTGCAGTACTAATACTACTATTATTCCTTCTGCAAATTTTCTCCATATTTTCAGTAGTTATTAAAAGCATTCAAATGCAATTCTATCTTTGTAATGACTGTGACTAGGCTTAGTTCCAAATTGTTTTGTTTTATTCCATTAATACCCTTGCCAAATAATCCTGAACTTTTTGCTTTTGTTAATTTTCTATATGGCTTTCTGTTTTTCTCCCTATTTGAAAGGTTATTTGAACTCTGTTTGTCTTTTAATAAATTGTACTTCACCTCTTTCTGGGTTATAAATACCATACACGTCCCTGTTTTATTGTACAATGCAACAATTAAATGATGCTTTCCTTTTCAGCGTTCTGTGAAGAAGGATGCAGATATGGTGGGACATGTGTTGCCCCCAATACATGCGCCTGTCCTTCTGGATTCACAGGAAGTCATTGTGAAAAAGGTAATACTCTAATTTTCTGCAAATAATTTTCTCTGACTTAAAAATTGCAATTACATATCATTTATATTATTTCAGTTTTTTCCTTTTACTTGCATCAAGCAAACTTATGCCCAAGTTTAACATAAAGCAATAATTTTCCACATGTATTATGTAAATTTGTAGGAGCAGACTAGGTTTCCTAACTTGCAGAATTGGAGGAGGAATACTGTGAGGCAGGAATACTGGAAATTATAATGTCAAAATATCTGGTGTTGCAAAATTGGGGAATTAAATAGATAGATGCATGTTACTGCTCATTTTTTATTGAAAGTAATTCAGTGATAACCATCTAAATGCATATATTGTCAAAAAGGTTGAAGAAAAATGGAGCCAATGTGACACAAAGTATTTGTATAAACTGATCATAAAAATTAAGTAGAAGCAGTTGGATAGTATTCTGTACAGGGTCATAGGGTACCAGGACAATGAAGAAGAATGGAATAATGGCTATAAAGATCCTGGATAATCAAGGGTTTTTTTGTATGTTGCAGAATACAAAGAAATTCATCTTCATCATGAAATGTGTTTGTACATTGCCTTTCTGTAAGCCCAATATTCAAAAATCTCTATGTACAAATGACAATGCACATCAAAGACCAACACTTGTGCAATAACTATAGAACAATCAACAGGCCTTCAGTAAAAATTAAATATTTCTAATTAGGTTCTAATAAGAATTAGGCAATGAACTCATTGGAAAAATGTATGAAAGAATAAAACTGAAACATCTGTCAATAAATGTTGTATAAATTACTAAAAACAAGAACAGCCTTAATCAAACTGCATTTAATAAATCATAACTAGCTGCTTGCCATCAGTACCCATTCCCAATTACTTAGTATTTTAATACTATTACTCTTGATATATCTAATAAATAGTAATTAAAACACCTGATGGTCACACATGAATAATAAAGGCAAATCAAGTTGAAATAGAAAATTAGGTGCACTCACAACAATTCAAATTTTGGCTTGCATTTTCCAAAGCCACATAGGGATAAGACTGAGGCATAATTTCTTAACAATTAAAAAAAAAACCTAATGATACCAGACAAAGATTTCCTAAGCCATCACAGGCCTCTTATCTCAAGCTCGTTNTCTTGTGACGGGGAGGTCATGGCAGGTGAGGTTCATTGGGAGATCAAGTGGTGGTTTAAGGGGTTGCATGGGTTGGTTGAGCTGTCACTGATTGGAATTTGTAGTTGATTTGAACTCTGAGGGATTTGTAGGCTAGTTATAGGTTGATGTGTCTATTGATGGAATTGCTTGTGGAATACCAGGCTTCGATAAACTCGTGAGTGTGGTGGGTGCTAGTGTGGCCAATGATTCTTGAATTGCTCCAATTGAATTGATGTTATTCAGTGTCAGGGTGAATAGAGATTAGGGATTTGGGACCATATTTGACTGCCAGCCGGAGTTTGTGGATCCTGCTTTTTAATTGAAATCATTGTGGTAAAGCATTATCCTTTGCTGAAACTAGCAAAAGAAATTATCAGCCATTTCCATTTTCCACCATTTCATTTCTATATTAATCTATTTGGTTAGATTATGAAAAGGTAGTTTCAGTGTTCATTAAAAGAGATGGGGATAATTAAAAGTGAAGGAAACCATTCTTTTAGCTTTCATATAAACAGGGCTATTTTTGAAACTGGCTCAAATATTTGAATGCAGCACCATAGCAATGTGATGCAAACTCAAGCTTTCTGATACATGTATTGTGACATCACTCACATATACCAAAGGAGTGAAGGTTGTGTCAAAATAGCACGAAACTGCTTTTATTGTTTTGCTTTGTTTTATTTTTTATTTTTTACAAAAATGCTGGGTCTTATGGATGCCTTGGCATACAAGGCAAAATGTCACAGGAGCTAGAGGTTTAGATTCATCCAACACATCCAAACAATGATTATTCTCTAGAATTCTATAGAAATGGCTTGAAATGTTGTAAAATGTAAAACAAATAGTTGAGGCTGCATTATTTTTGCTTTCTGCTGCATTGAAAAAATTCATCAGTTTTTGTCTGGATCTTTGTACTCTTTCTTCTCTCATTTTTTTAATTTTTTTCCCCTTATTTGTTTCTCTTATAATAAAACATAATAAAATGTAGAGCAAAAATAATAATTGTTCTTTATGTCAGTTATTTCCTGAAGCAGTTTTGTGAATGCCCGCATTCTTTGAGGTGAGGATGATGCTACCAGAGGAAAGGAGCTTCTTAGTAAAAACAGTAAAATGCTTAGTAAAATGCTCAAGTGGAGGTTCTTAGTGGAGAACAATNGATCTAGGGGTTTTCCTAGTAATTACCTGAAAGTGTTTTATTTTTCAGAAAAAGTGTAAAGTAAACTTGTAGCAGTTAAAAATCACCACCCAATGGATCCTGAATTTATTTTGTAGGATGACAAATTTGGGATTTATGAAAGATACAGAAGTGATAAAATTAGGCTTAATGGGGATTTAGTGGTTGCATAACACTCATGTTTTATTTGTTTATTTTTGTTATGAATGGGATACAAAGTGAAATGTTATTGGACTTAAAACTCAATTGTGCCATGCTCTTAGGAGAACAATTTGCCAGAGGAAATTGTAATTTAGTGGAATTAATAGAACACTAAAGTTAACTTAAGCTTGTGTTTTGGTACAGTGCCAAGGAAAGTTTACTGAATGTAAGGGGATTGTGAGAAAATTTTGTGTCATAAAATAAAGGTATATTTACTTTCTTATGGTTTTCTCTAAAATGCGACATCATTGGGCATTTTATATAGATATAGCAAGTTCTACTTTTGTGGTGGATTGGAGGACCTGTAGTCTTGCTCCTTGATAAAGAGCATAGAAAAACAGAACCTTCCAATTCCAAATCCACTGTTATTTTTAAGGCCTCTCCTTTGTTGTTGTCATCATTTTTTCAACAGCAAATACATTCCCCATCATCCCTTTTGGCATCCTATATTCTTTAGGTTTTATTGTGGCTTCAGTGGCTCCATCTATTTCTAGCCAATTAAAGATTAAGTGACAAAACTGAAAATGTCAAGGCATCTAATAGATAACTAGCTTTTACTATGCGACAACATCACTGAAGGCAAAGTATGCTATTAATTTTTCTCCACATTTGTTCTGAATGCATGCGGCAGGGTTGACATTTTGATATATGGTGTAGTTATGGTTTTAGCACAGCAAAAAAAAGATGTTGGCCTTTCCCTCTTGTTTGCCATTTCTCTGTCGGTTTCACACACAACCCTTCCCACATTCACGTCCCATTCTAATCCATGCAGTTTTCAATTTGAAGAAAAAAACGAATACCTTCCCCTGGAGACATTTGACTTAGACTAGACTAATTGATAGTTCCTTAGTATACTTCATTTTAGGCCACTCCAATAGGAGTCATCGATACACTGAAAACTGTACTCTTTATTGAATTAATATAAAATAAATATTTAAACAAATATCTCCCCCCAATTTTTTAAAGCAGCAAACTCTGAAAAAATTAAGATGCTCTGCTACTCCTTATTTATTGAATTATTTATTATTATTATTCCAAGGTTGAGACTTTTGTAAAACAAAAAGGTTTCAAAACAAAGAAGGCATATTGGATTTCAAGCATAAATGTTGTAATATTTTACTTGATAATTCTCTTACCTATTATGCCTTTCTGCCACATTGCATAGTTTACTGAATATATAAAGAGCTGCTATTGTTCACCAGCCATCAATTCACTGTTTGTAAGAGACACATATACTGTATTAAAGGATAACCAGTTCAAGTGCTAATTGTGAAATATTTGAAAAGAAAATGCATCTTGGATCTATAATCAGGATATTTGTGTAGGAGGAAGTATTCAGGATGCAAGTTAAATCAAGACTATTTCATTCCTTTAAACTCTGAGTTAGAAACTAAATGGCCTTTTAGATCTGAGACTGGAAAATTAATTATATGCACCAGAACTCTTCCTTAAGACATAATGGAGACAGGTGTGGGTTGACCACCATCATAAAAGGTTAGTGGGACTATAAAGCTTCTATGTGGAAATAAATATAAATCCTTATTTGAGTCTCTGAAGTTTGAACAAAATTAAAGCCTCCTAAAGTCCCTCAGGCAAAATGAATCAAATAACACTCCAAGAAAAAAAGAGAATTCAAATATTAATTTGATATTATTCTTATGCAATAAGGAAAGTTATCCACATTGATTCCTTGCTTAGCCAGCTGATTAATACTACAGTTTTCCTTGTATACATTTAGACTTTAATCCAATAGAGCTCAGTGGGCTTATTCCAGGAAATTCAATGTAGCTTTAGAATGTTTAGAATGTTTATTAACATTTGTAGGCCGCCCTTTTCCCTGAGGATGCTTTAATGTTTACTATTACTTAAGTGCAGCAATTATTCCTTTCAGTGTAAATTATCTATTAAATAAATTGTGTATCACAGAATATAGCATAGATGGAAGAGCTTTCATGTGAAAGAGTAAAATTTTCTTTTTTTATTTGGTGTTTCTGAATTGCTCGTCTTTTATCTCCATCAGTCTGCTCTTTAGGAATGATACTCATCTGTCTTTTGAATGAGACATAAAATGAAGGCCCTAAACACTTGTGTTTCAATGGAACTTAGATCCAATTCCAGCTTTGGTGATTACTTTGCTTGACTTTCCTTGCAGTTTCAGTGTTCACTTCTTGACTTAAAGTGTTGTATATTGCTACTGGCACACAAAGTGATTGAAACAATTTTACCCTGGGGGTATCTGCATTTTAGCCATTGGTAGAAAAAAATGACTCATATCTACTTACAGTAATTTGATAGGAGAGTTATTCTGCTAAACTCTATATGAAATATTGTCTCACCGGCCCTATTTTTTTTTTAAAAAACAACATGTGTAATTTATTTTCTGCTATTACTGTTTTCATTTTGCATTTATTGGTAATACATGTAGCAATATAATCAACTTTATATATTTTTGCCCCTACTTTTATTAT